CTTGGACAAATTGTAGAGGCCCAACAATAAGGCAGAAACAGTATTGTCGACGGTAATATCGCCAAGTCTCGGTATAAGCACAAGAAAAGATTTATATACACAAAAGTCGAAATAATTGAAATAAAAGTCGAAATTGTACGCGAACGTGCAAGAAAAAGAGACAAAAAGAGATTCATCAAAATAAATAATAGCTGTTGCCTAAATATTCAATGTCATTTTGCGAATTTAGTCCTTGTTTTTATAATCTGATGAAAATCATTTCTGCTATTAGATGTTTTAAGTAAAAACGTTCCTTATGTAAAATCTTTACATGTTCCCAATCAATCAAACTTCACTTAAACAATGTTCCTGGACGGCCGTCAAATCCGCGATAGATCTCATAGGAATTCTCCTATGCTCAGAAATACGCGTAGAGAGTTTTCTGCTCGTTTGTCCAACATATGAGGCTTCACAGCTACAGCATTACAATTTGTAAATAACATTATTAAGGAGTCCTGGAGAAACAAATGACAATATCGTTTCTGTCTTGTTGTTGGGCCTCTACAATTTGTCCAAGGTAATTTATTATCGGTTATTCAATTTTATTTATTTTAGTTTTTAAATTATTACATATTCTTTATATGTTTTTGATAAACAATACGACCGCTGCACCCTAATATGTGCTTTTGTGAGTAACAAAACATTGTTAGGGACATTTAACGCATTTGTTGACTTTAATATCGAACTAACATTATTTCTTTTTCACCAAGTCTGTGTTTTTCTTGATTAAATTTCTTTGTTCTGTACAATGCTTGAGATTTTTTTATATATGTATCACTGAAGAGGATTCATGGATAAACCGAAACGTTTGATAATTTATATATTCATTGTAAAATAAATTACCGTAAGATAAGGTTACTTTGTGACTGTAGGAGTTACTTTGTGACACAGTGATAATTATCACTATTGACCAATAGTCACTGTGTTACAAAGTAACCCCTACAGTCACAAAGTAATCCCATCTTACGGTACATTATTTCCTAACATAAGGAAGAATTACCATTTTTTGTTATTTAGCAGTACAACTGCTGTGTTTGAACTCCTACTTTTTTTCTATCAACAATTTTACTACTCCAGGAACTGGCATTGAAAATTATAATAAGAAATTACAATGAAAATTATAATAAGAGGAACACAGTAAAAATTGCCATAAAAATAATGAACGTAGCAAAAGTTGTCATAAAAGTTCATGATTATTTTTCCGATGTTTTATTGTAATTTTCGTAATAGTGATAGTCTAATCCCGGAATATTGTATTATAATTTTTACTACAATATTCTCTCCGTGTACAGCGCATCCTTGCTGAGACATTCACCTTCGAAGTTAGAATTTAAAAAAACATTTTCTAAAAATAACTTTTGTATTGCTTGTCAAATTTTGATAATCTTTATTAATCTCAAATGTTCAAATAAGATAATATGATGAAGAAAAGAAGAAGAAAATTACCATAGAATATTACAGCGAGTGCAGCAGTTCTTAATTTGTTATGTAGGATAATGCATTAGAATAGAAGATGTTCATATTGAACATTAATTACGATTTTTGACAAATCCATTTCTCTTCAATTTAATTTGACTTAATTAGTTCACTTTTGTTTCACGCGAAATCATTACCTTATTGTTTGAATAAAGTTTTACTTTTCACCGTTCAAGTGCGTTTTTCTGGAAAATAATTCGCTTTTTCAATCAACCAAGAATCGAACAAGAATATCTTTTTCTTTAGAAAAAAGTTTGAGAAATCTAAGGTGTTTAAAAATTAAAAAAATCCTACCCTCCTCAAAGTTTTGGCTTAAGAAATTTAGGGATAGTTTGTTACTTGGCTCGTTGAGATAATGTAAAAAATGTATCAATTCTAACAATCTTTGCGTATTATAAAAATGATATAAAGATTATCAAAATCTGATAAGTAATATAAACGTTATTTTTAGAAAATGCTTTTTAGATTCTAGCTTTGGAGGTGTAAAAATTTTAGCAAGAATACGCTGTAGAAAAACAATTTATGTGAACTTATAGAGTTATTTTTACTTATTCAAATTTGTACGCTTCTAAGAGATTGCCTACTTTTATTAAAACATCCTGTATGTGTGTGTGTACATATACAGAGTGTCTGACAACAAATGGTACACTCGTTGTGTGCAAGTACAACTCATCAAACTGAACACAAAATTCGTCTACCATCTCGCAAACTAAAATTTCGCACGTAAAATTTTGTGTTATTAATTGAAGAAAATTAAATATAATCACACGAGACATTATGAATAAGTTATGATGGTGACGTCTGTTGTTGTGTACTTGTATATCAGGTCAAACTGCACAACAAAATCCTCTACTATTTTGTAAATAACGACGTAGATTTTTAGATGTTAATTAAAAAAAATTGATGCGTCATCGCACACAATTATATTCACAAATTTTCTTTAATTAATAATTAAGAATCTATGTGGTTATTTACGAAATGGTAGAGGACTTTTGTATTCAGTTTAACGAGTTCTATCTCATACAATGCGTGTGTCATTAATTGTCAGACACTCTGTATATATATATCCACCTCTCGTAACGTACATTTGCGATTTTGCTATCAATGATTTCTTACTAAATTCTCTTTTTTATTCCTTTCTCATCGGCTGAACTGTCACCGTTTTTCTAATTACTTGCTCAATTATTGTCCGAATGAGCTTTCCGAAAATTAGTGTTTACTGCGCATCTGCATCGAGAAAGGGGATATTCGGTGTGACGTAGAAATCGGCAACATCATTTTTATTAGATCACGGATGTGGTGCGAAAAATGCATTGCGGATCGAAGTGTTTTCCATTTTTTACTGCAATCGCAGAAAGTAAATCTTTTAACGGTGTTAATGATGAAGAAGGTGTGAAGAAGGTGTGATGAAGGTATGATGAAGAAGGATTGAACACGTTGAACAAGACATTCCTAATGACGTAATGAAAGAGAGAGAGAGAGAGAGAGAGAGAGAGAGGGAAGGGAGAGTGATTGCGTTGAAATGCTGTTGTACATGATCAGAAAGATGTTCTATTTTTTGCGTAAAAAAGAAAGAAAAAATTACGTGTATTCTCTTTGTTATCGTGAAATGTTGCGCCTGTCACGTTGCATGTTGTTTTCGACGAATTTGCAAAATACCGCGCTGTAATTTCGTCTACATCTCCAGCGTCGAGACAACGATTTGTTGAAATAATTACGCGACGATTTCCCGAGAACCTAAAAATAGTTTCGACGTGTTGACGTCAGTACGGCGTTTTTCGTAGCGCAAAGAATCGCGCGATAGCGGAGCGCAAACAGCGCTTATCTCGCTTGTGTGTGTGGGACGACGATTATTATTATTCGCATAGAGCTAGAGCGTATTCACACAGATTGGCCCTACTATTTTTATTCGATATTTACTGCGTGAAAAGAGGAAAAGGAAGAAGTGACGAGTCTTCTCCGTCGTGTGTTCGCGGAATATACACGAAATAAATATCTATATATTGTAAATAGAGAGAGAGAGAGAGAGAGAGAGAGAGAGAGAGAGAGAGAGAGAGAAGGGGAAGGAGAGAGAAGGAAAAAAAAACGGTGTTTGCCGCTCGATCGCGATTACGAGGGACACGACATTTCTCTCTAAGCAGTAGCTGATAACGGAGATTTAGCGAAGTCGCGAAATCCGTTCGCGCCAAGTATATTTTTCGAGGATGACGAGTTTTCAGAGATTTAACGAAATTACCCCCCGTTCTCGGAGAGTCGAGTCCTTGTCGTGGTACGATCCTGCGACATCGTAGTAGTTGATGATTCTCGATCACTTGTCGAAGTGTGAGGTTTTAAATATCGAGAGCAGCGCAGTTTTGTGGGGGCGTCGAACGAGCAATACAGAGAGTGAGAGAAAGGGAGAGAGAGAAGAAGAAAGAGAGAGTACACGATGATGGGTCCGTATCATCAAGCTCAATATCAAATATCGGAATATCGATCGGCGAGAGTTCACGCAAATAATGATACGCGCGAGTTTAACTCGATCGCGGCTCAAGTCTCGCGGAATTACGAAGAGGACGGCGATTTTCCCTCGCTGCGTCCCTTACATCGCTGCGCTGGTCCGTCTTAGATACATATACGCATTGATTGTGTAAAAATTGATCGCGTCGTTGATCGATAATCGCGGCACCGCGACTGAAAGCTCACCTCGCTTGCCCACTCCTATCTCGGAAACTTGCTTCGGCTCGGCTCGAAATTTCACGTTCGTTTCGCGAGAGTGTCGACGGGCCGGGGACCTTAGCGATTAATTTCGCGCCACGCGTCGGAACCTGTTGCGACCTTACAAATTTCAACACCCTGCGAAAACCTGCAAAGACTCGTCTCATGTCGTGCCGCGTAAGATAGACCCGACACTCGATAGATCCGACAGATCGCGGCAGCGGGAGGGGTCATCATTTTTGTACGAAAGCCGCGGCGCGTCCTTTATATTTGCAATTCGCCATTGGCATTGACCCGAAACTATCACACAGAGACGTATGCATATTTGTCCGTGCTATCGTTCTCATATCGTATATCGCGGCTCCGCTGTCAGGGGTCTATCTTGCTCTCGATCAACGACACATCGTCATTTGAGATATATTCGTCATGACCATCGTATATGATATCAAGTTTACTCTTCAGATCATTGAGTAGTAGGAAGTAGAATTTTTCAACTTCTAGGTGTTAAATGACGAAGAATATTTTATAAGCACACAGAGAGAAAAAAGGGGCACACACAACAGACGCAAACACATAAACAAGCATTTACACATACATGCATATATATATATATATATGTATATATATATATATATATATATATATATATATATATATATATATA